CTACAGAGCAATAGTAACAAAAACAGCATGGTACTGGTACCAAAACAGGCGGGTGGACCAATGGTACAGAATAGAGGACACAGAAACCAATCCACAAAACTACAACTATCTTATATTTGATAAAGGGGCTAAAAGCATGCAATGGAGGAAGGATAGCATCTTCAACAAATGGTGCTGGGAAAACTGGAAATCCATATGCAACAAAATGAAACTGAATCCCTTTCTCTCGCCATGCACAAAAGTTAATTCAAAATGGATCAAGGAGCTTGATATCAAATCAGAGACACGCCGTCTGATAGAAGAAAAAGTTGGCTACGATCTACATACTGTGGGGTCGGGCTCCAAATTCCTCAATAGGACACCCATAGCACAAAAGTTAATAACTAGAATCAACAAATGGGACTTACTCAAACTAAAAAGTTTTTTCTCAGCAAAAGATACAATAAGAGAGGTAAATAGAGAGCCTACATCCTGGGAACAAATCTTTACTCCTCACACTTCAGATAGAGCCCTAATATCCAGAGTATACAAAGAACTCAAAAAATTAGACAATAAGAGAACAAACAACCCAATCAACAAATGGGCCAAGGACCTGAACAGACACTTCTCAGAGGAGGACATACAATCAATCAACAAGTACATGAAAAAATGCTCACCATCTCTAGCAGTCAGAGAAATGCAAATCAAAACCACCCTAAGATACCATCTCACTCCAGTAAGATTGGCAGCCATTATGAAGTCAAACAACAACAAGTGCTGGCGAGGATGTGGGGAAAAGGGTACACTTGTACATTGCTGGTGGGACTGCAAATTGGTGCAGCCAATTTGGAAAGCAGTATGGAGATTTCTTGGAAAGCTGGGAATGGAGCCACCATTTGACCCAGCTATTCCCCTTCTCGGTCTATTCCCTAAAGACCTAAAAAGAGCATGCTACAGGGACACTGCTACATCTATGTTCATAGCAGCACAATTCACAATAGCTAGACTGTGGAACCAACCTAGATGCCCTTCAATGGATGAATGGATAAAAAAAATGTGGCATTTATACACAATGGAGTATTACTCTGCATTAAAAAATGACAAAATCATAGAATTTACAGGGAAATGGATGGCATTAGAGCAGATTATGCTAAGTGAAGCTAGCCAATCCCTAAAAAACAAATGCCAAATGTCTTCTTTGATATAAGGAGAGTAACTAAGAACAGAGTAGGGTCGAAGAGCAGGAGAAGAAGATTAACATTAAACAGGGATGAGAGGTGGGAGGGAAAGGGAGAGAGAAGGGAAAATGCATGGAAATGGAAGGAGACCCTCAGAGTTATACAAAAGTACATACAAGAGGAAGTGAGGGGAAGGGGAAAAATAATATAAGGGGGACAAACGAATGTCAGTAGAGGGAGCAGAGAGAGAAGAGGGGAGGGGAGGGGAGGGGAGGGGAGGGGGATAGTAGAGGATAGGAAAGGCAGCAGAATACAACAGACACTAGTATGGCAATATGTAAATCAATGGATGTGTAACTGATGTGATTCTGCAATCTGTATATGGGGTAAAAATGGGAGCTCATAACCCACTTGAATCAAATTGTGAAATATGATATATCAAGAACTATGTAATGTTTTGAACAGCCAACAATAAAAAATTAAAAAAAAAATAAATAAAAAAAAAAAGAAATAATTAAAATCAGAGCTGAAATTAATGATATCGAAACAAAAGAAACAATTGAAAAAATTGACAAAACTAAAAGTTGGTTCTTTGAAAAAATAAATAAAATCGACAGACCCTTAGCCATGCTAATGAAGAGAAGAAGAGAGAGAACTCAAATTACTAGCATACGGGATGAAAAAGGCAATATCACAACAGACACTTCAGAAATACAGAAGATAATCAGAAATTATTTTGAATCCTTATACTCCAATAAACTAGAAGATAGTGAAGGCATTGATAAATTTCTTAAGTCATATGATCTGCCCAGATTGAGTCAGGAGGATATAGACAACCTAAACAGACCAATATCAATTGAGGAAATAGAAGAAACCATCAAAAGACTACCAACTAAGAAAAGCCCAGGACCGGATGGGTATACAGCAGAGTTTTACAAAACCTTTAAAGAGGAACTAATACCAATACTTTTCAAGCTACTTCAGGAAATAGAAAAAGAGGGAGAACTTCCAAATTCATTCTATGAGGCCAACATCACCCTGATTCCTAAACCAGACAAAGACACTTCAAAGAAAGAAAACTACAGACCAATATCTCTAATGAACCTAGATGCAAAAATCCTCAATAAAATTCTGGCGAATCGGATACAAAAACGTATCAAAAAAATTGTGCACCATGATCAAGTAGGATTCATCCCTGGGATGCAAGGCTGGTTCAATATACGGAAATCAATAAATGTTATTCACCACATCAATAGACTTAAAGATAAGAACCATATGATCATCTCGATAGATGCAGAAAAAGCATTCGACAAAGTACAGCATGCCTTTATATTCAAAACTCTAGAAAAACTAGAGATAACAGGAACTTACCTCAATATTGTAAAAGCAATCTATGCTAAGCCTCAGGCTAGCATCATTCTGAATGGAGAAAAATTGAAGGCATTCCCTCTAAAATCTGGAACAAGACAGGGATGCCCTCTCTCACCACTTCTGTTCAACATAGTTCTCAAAACACTGGCCAGAGCAATTAGACAGACGAAAGAAATTAAAGGCATAAAAATAGGAAAAGAAGAACTTAAATTATCACTATTTGCAGGTGACATGATTCCATACCTAGCAGACCCAAAAGGGTCTACAAAGAAACTATTAGAGCTAATAAATGAATTCAGCAAATTGGCAGGATATAAAATCAACACGCATAAATCAAAGGCATTCCTGTATATCAGCGACAAATCCTCTGAAATAGAAATGAGGACAACCACTCCATTCACAATATCCTCAAAAAAAATAAAATACTTGGGAATCAACCTAACAAAAGAGGTGAAAGACTTATACAATGAAAACTACAGAACCCTAAAGAGAGAAATAGAAGAAGATCTTAGAAGATGGAAAAATATACCCTGTTCATGGATAGGCAGAACTAACATCATCAAAATGGTGATATTACCAAAAGTTCTCTATAGGTTTAATGCAATGCCAATAAAAATCCCAAAGACATTTCTTGTAGAAATAGATAAAGCAATCATGAAATTCATATGGAAAAATAAAAGACCCAGAATAGCAAAAACAACTTTAAGCAGGAAGTGTGAATCAGGCGGTATAGCAATACCAGACCTCAAACAGAGCAATAGTAACAAAAACAGCATGGTACTGGTACCAAAACAGGTGGGTGGACCAATGGTACAGAATAGAGGACACAGAAACCAATCCACAAAACTACAACTATCTTATATTTGATAAAGGGGCTAAAAGCATGCAATGGCGGAAGGATAGCATCTTCAACAAATGGTGCTGGGAAAACTGGAAATCCATATGCAACAAAATGAAACTGAATCCCTTTCTCTTGCCATGCACAAAAGTTAACTCAAAATGGATCAAGGAGCTTGATATCAAATCAGAGACACGCCGTCTGATAGAAGAAAAAGTTGGCTACGATCTACATACTATGGGGTCGGGCTCCAAATTCCTCAATAGGACATCCATAGCACAAGAGTTAATAACTAGAATCAACAAATGGGACTTACTCAAACTAAAAAGTTTTTTCTCAGCAAAAGAAACAATAAGAGAGGTAAATAGGGAGCCTACATCATGGGAACAAATCTTTACTCCTCACACTTCAGATAGAGCCCTAATATCCAGAGTATACAAAGAACATAAAAAATTAAACAATAAGAAAACAAATAACCCAATCAACAAATGGGCCAAGGACCTGAACAGACACTTCTCAGAGGAGGACATACAATCAATCAACAAGTACATGAAAAAATGCTCACCATCTCTAGCAGTCAGAGAAATGCAAATCAAAACCACCCTAAGATACCATCTCACTCCAGTAAGATTGGCAGCCATTATGAAGTCAAACAACAACAAGTGCTGGCGAGGATGTGGGGAAAAGGGTACACTTGTACAATGCTGGTGGGACTGCAAATTGGTGCAGCCAATTTGGAAAGCAGTATGGAGATTTCTTGGAAAGCTGGGAATGGAGCCACCATTTGACCCAGCTATTCCCCTTCTCGGTCTATTCCCTAAAGACCTAAAAAGAGCATGCTACAGGGACACTGCTACATCGATGTTCATAGCAGCACAATTCACAATAGCAAGACTGTGGAACCAACCTAGATGCCCTTCAATAGACGAATGGATAAAAAAATGTGGCATTTATACACAATGGAGTATTACTATGCATTAAAAAATGACAAAATCATAGAATTTGCAGGGAAATGGATGGCATTAGAGCAGATTATGCTAAGTGAAGCTAGTCAATCCCTATAAAACAAATGCCAAATGTCTTCTTTGATATAAGGAGAGTAACCAAGAACAGAGTAGGGACGAAGAGCAGGAGAAGAAGATTAACATTAAACAGAAATGAGAGGTGGGAGGCAAAGGGAGAGAGAAGGGAAATTGCATGGAAATGGAAGGAGACCCTTAGGGTTATACAAAAGTACATACAAGAGGAAGTGTGGGGAAAGGGAAAAATAATACAAGGGGGAGAAATGAATGACAGTAGAGGGGGTAGAGAGAGCAGAGGGGAGGGGAGGGGAGGGGAGGGGGGATAGTAGAGGATAGGAAAGGCAGCAGAATACAACAGACACTAGTATGGCAATATGTAAATCAATGGATGTGTAACTGATGTGATTCTGCAATCTGTATATGGGGTAAAAATGGGAGTTCATAACCCACTTGAATCAAAGTGTGATATATGATATATCAAGAACTATGTAATGTTTTGAACAACCAACAATAAAAAATTTAAAAAAAAATCTCATGAATGAGTACTTAGCAGAATGGGAAGATGAGCCCATTTTACATTGGTGACATAGGTATTTTTTTTTTCAGTTATACCTTCCCAGAGTTTCTTCCTGATGGAGATAATGAACCCAAAAGGCATTTCTTTGCTTGCCTTTCTTCTTCACATTTAGGTAATCTCCGAAATACACAGCAGTTTCCTGGGCTGTCCACAGTTCAGACTTCTTGGAATATTTTAACAAAAGAGCATCTGGAAAAGAGATAAGAAGAGAGTAGAGCTAAGTTTTAAAAGAATGTTACAAATCATGAATAAAGTTGAAGAAACACGAGTCCTAAAGCAACCCATCTGAAATCTTCGATTTTTTTAAACTTTTTTTTTCTCCCAAATTTTTGCCTCTTTTCAAATTATGGATACTGTTAAAAAGTTAGTGAAGTACTATAAAAAGGTAACACTTCACATTTTGCAGTGAAGAGTGGTGTAGGCATTCAGCTTGAGCAGACTGTAGGCATCTTGGTAATTGTCAAGATTGCCCCTGAGCAACCCTGGGAGGCTTCCCAGCCCACTAGAAATAAGTGAAACTATTCTCACAGTGGTATGTGGAGCTTTATGACAGGACCTTGGTGTTCTCAATGCCAGGAATTTTTGATATCAGCTTGAGAGAAACCAGGTGGGATGAAGTCTCCTTTCCTGAACACTTCATAAGCACAACTCTTCTGCCCTAAATTGTGAGGATCCACTGGTTTACTGTTGCCCATAACCATGCTTTTGTAAATAAGCTCCCAGTAATTTGCATTCTGTTAAACCCTGGATCTGTCTGCCTCTTTCTTTGGTGGTACTTTCTTTCATGGGACTTTGGGTCCAATTCTCATAGGCTGGGACCAGGCTATTCGAGAATGAATAGCCTTTGATTTGCAAAATCTCTTGCTTGGGAAGGCAAATGATTAAGATCAGATCAGAGTTTCTGTATGAAAGAGATGGAAAATAGAGGGGCTTTTAAAGCAGCTAGATCCCAGAGAGCATGTTGGGATAAGAGGTATGTTTGCAACTTCATCCAATCTGGGAATCCTACATAGAAGAGCTGACTTCCTTTGTCAGAACAAACAGAAATAACTAAATAATTTTACCTGAAAGGCTCCTAGCAACTCTAGAGATTCTAGATTACAGATAAAACGGCATTCTTATTTTCTCTTGTTTTAAGTCAGGAAGGTCTAGGAATTACTTAAGAAATTGTAGCCACCCTACAAAGATGCAAACTCCACTTAAAAAAAAAAAGATTAGAGCAAAAAGCCAGGGTTGTTTCCATCTTAAAGAAAGGAAGAAGAATGCTGGGTTCAATGCTGTGTGCCTTATTCCCAGCTACCTGGACAGCTACAGAAGGATGGTGAATTTAAGGCCAGCTAGTACAATTTAGTAAGACCCTATCTAAAAAAAATAAAAATAAAAAAAACAAAATCAGGAAGAACAGTGCTAGGAAAGAAAGTGTCTCTTCTAGGGAAAAGACCAATATGAACTCTAAGAAAGAAATGCAACATCTTGGTATCCAAGTTAAAATTCAGTGAACAAAGACCTCCTGTGTGTCTAGGTTGTGACAATGAAAGAATGAATGGAAAACTTGGGAGAGAAGATATTTAAGATAAACCCACAGGTATGGAAGGGGATGACTCTGGGCTAGTGGAGATGGTGTCCAGGGTTTGATGACTCAATGAGAAACCGGGATGGAAACAAAGGGTGAGATGCTTGTCCATACTCGTGGAGGGTGGTCACTTGAGGGAAGAAAGGAGGGAGCTTATGACTTATGTTTCTGCAACATTGGGCCTTCTCTCCTCTATGGTGGTTTTTGTCCATAAATTGACACACAATAATAATAATAAAAAGTACAGACAGCAGAAATTGTAAATGTTTGTATGAAAAACCCCACAAGGCAGGAACAAATCTCTCGATACACAAAGTGCAAGTCCTAAATAAAAGATGATTAAATCAACTCAACCAAACTTAGGACTTATATTATGCAAATAATTTAAGTGAAGAGACAGACTATAACTAGAGAAGATATATTTACAATACAAACAACTGACAAAAGATTAGTTATATAGTTTCTATTTTTGAAAAAATAGAAGAAACATAAAAAGGCATTTCACATGGGGCTTATAAACAAATAGGAAGATGTTCCTGGCATTACTGACTATGCAAGTATGAATTAAAACCATAGTCTTAATTTCATTGTATAGCCATAAGATTTGCAAAAATTGGGCCTGATAATACCAGGGGTTAGAGAAGATCTGTGGAACTCACATGTTGTGCAAGACACAACTCCTGTAGAAAACAGTTACACTTCGCTGACATAAATTTTTGCATACCTTGTGATCTAGCTCTGGACTCCTATTCATGACAAAGTTTTGTGCTTTGGTGTATGCAGGAATATGCAAGAATATTCATAGTGACATTTGTAATAGCTTGTAACTAGAAAAAGTGAAACATCTGTCTATGGAGAATGGATACATAAATTAGGTATATTTACTCCAAGTGATATTCTGTAATGAAAGTGAATGACCTACAGTTATACCTTGCAATAAGAATGAATCTCAAATGTTAATGAAAAAAAAAAAACCCCAATTTCCATGACATTACATGGTATGTGAAGCTTTATGACAGGACTTTGATGAGCTCAAAAATAAGCAAAACCAAAGAGCATATTGTCTGGGTATGTATATAAAACTGTACTGTTAAAAAAAGATAACAGTGATAAACCAAAATTTATCTCAGTGATTTCCACAGGAGGATCAATAAATGGGGACAGACAGAAACACAGGCAGGTTAAAGTTAAATGAATAAAGTTCTAGCCCTTGGGTAGGAGGGCCTGGGTGTATGCTATATACAGTTTTGCTTTATAACTGTCAGTTCTGTACATCTGAAATAGGTTGTATTGGATACATGCATTAAGTTTATTGTAAAAAGTAAAGACAAAATGAAACGAGGGAAAAATAACAATAAGGCAATTACCTAATTAGAAGAAATGTGATTCTGAAATTGCAGCATCTCACAGTAGTAGGGAAAACCCTATCACTAGCAAAATTTTGCTTTTTTAGCAACAACCTGATGTGTATTTTAGTCTGACTTCAAGGTGCCTTCATGGGTGGGCAAAATATTAGAATGCTTTCAAGCAGAAGCCCTCAACATTGGCTTTATATGAAATCATTAGGGAGTTCCCAGGACATCCTGATGGTTGGATTCATTCCCCAGACCCACTGGATGGGGCTGTCTGGGATGAGGCATAGGAAGTTTTAAAAAGCTTCCAGGAGATTCTACTGCATTGCCCTGATTAAGAACTACTACTTCATATCTAGTATTTAGTAATCAACATAGCTTATTTCTTCTGAGATGCACTTTACAATAGTTTTTTTCCTCATTCAAATGATTCTTCTGTATATTGGAAAGGCATTATATACTATGTTTCTCTGGGCTGAAAGAAGAACCTTCATGCTATCTTTCACCCAGTCTCTCTTTTAGGCTGTGATAGACATACTGACTGCTGGTGGCTCCAGCCCAGCGTCCCTGCTGTAGGAAATGACTTTAATAAGAAGTTTTTGCTAATTGCAACCATAGGGGTCCTATAGTTTGAACATCTGTGTCCTCTTAGAATTCTAATGTTGAAATCCTAACCCACAAGATGATGGTATTAGGAGGTAGAGCTTTTGGGATGTGATTAAGCCATGAGGTTGTGACCTTATAAATGAGGCTCCTTGACCCTTCCACCTTATGAGGACACTGGGAATTCCCAAGGATCCAGAACTATGAGAAATAAAATTCTGTTGTTTATAATCTCCTTTGTTTACAGTTTTTATTATGGAGGCCCAAAGAGACTAAGAGAAAGGGGCACATAATCAATTCTTTGGCTGGCAAGAAAATGCTTAGGTGGACAAGTGTGAAAATCTCTGTCCACAAGAAAGATGATATTTAACTAAGACTCTTATCCTTGATTTTTTTTTTTTAAGTATCAGGGATTGAACCCAGGGGTGCTTAAGCACTGAACCATCTCTCTCCAGCCCTTCTAATTTTGAGACAGGCTTTTACTAAGTTGCTTAGGGCCTCGCTAAGTTGCTGAGGCTGGCTTTGAACTCAAGATCCTCCTGCCTCAGTCTCCTTCTTCTTGAATTTGAATAAGGAAAAAAGAAATCATCTGGTTGGTAAAGAGAAGTAAAAGAGGAGACAGATGCTGAATGAATGATTGACTATCCAGAGCAGTTTTAAATCCTGAGTGATAGCTGTGTTAAGGCCTCTGAAATTCCTGTCTCCCTTTCTGCCTCACATGTCCTTATAGCAAACCTCAAGCATGTGAAGTAAGCTTGAGCAAATCTCTATTCTTGGTCACCATTAAGGTCTGTCACACAAAGGGTGAGGGGGGCCCCTGCAGTTTACATTTCTCTGTGGAACTCACAAAGTACAACAAAGAATAAAACATTTGTCATGAGATTTTTAAAAATATTTTTTAGTTGTAGATGAACACAATACCTTTGTTTATTTTTATGTGGTGCTGAGGATGGAAACCAGTGCCTCACATGTGTTAGGCAAGTGCTCTACCACTGAGCCACAACTCAGCCCTGTCATGAGCTTTAAGTGGTCTATACAACAAGATTTTCAGAGGGCCCCAGAAGTAGGTGATTCCAACATCTGTATAGACTGAAAATATCGCACTTACTGTGAGCTCGTTGGAGTTGACTGGGCTTAAAAACGCCTGTATTTTCCAGTCTCTGAAACAGCCAATCATGCCTCACTCCTGCCAAGAGTTTGTCCAAGTCATCGGGCTGCAGGGTACGAGCCTCAAGGACTTCTTTCCTCATTTTTCCTAGCGATGAGACAGAAGAAGAACTTCCACTGGAATTCAGAGAAGACCATAAGCTTTCCCCCTCAGAAGAACCACTGGAAAATGTAGGTGACTTCAACCACCATGAAAGGGATGAGCTGGAGCTCTGGCTGCAGTTTAGCATGTGTCCGGGTTCATTTCCTTCTTCTGTGGTGGCACCATCCTCGCTGAGCACAGGAAAGGGAATGTTACTGTTAACAGAGGAACTGGGGGTCTCAGTCTTCTGACCAGGTGGCTGTCCCATGGTGCACAGTCTAGGAGAGTCATGTCCACCTGAGGAGCAGACATCTGTGCTGTCAAAGAGGTGGCCCTCCTCATCTTCTGTAGGGGCATCAGGGTCAATGCCCTGCTTCCTGACTGAGCCACCACCCGCCTTCTCTGAGTCAGGATGTTGATCAGGCTGATAAGTGAAAGAGCTACATGCTAACATGGAACTGTGGCCCTGAGAACTGCCCACGACTACACGAGAGTCTAAAGGCATATCTTTTGTGCTTTCCTCTGTTTCTCCTTCTGGGTCCACCCAGAAGAAGCTCTCTTTAAATACAGGGCCCACATATTTTTCATTGAGTTCTTTTCCCTTTTCTTCCCCATGTCTGTCTTCAACGTCACAGTTGGTTTCTGGAAAATCATCAATTATTTCAAAGTCTTCTTCTTCTTGGACTGAAGGACATGAGGCCATGTGCTTGAACCTACCAGAATCAGAAGACCAAGAAGCAGAACTACATGAGGATTGGAAGTGAGCAGAAGTATTGCCAGGTCCTACAAGTTGGACTTCCTGGACAACTTCTGGAACTTCTTCTGATAGCCCTGCTTCAGAGACCAAGCACGTGTTGGTTGTGTTGTGAGGACAGAAGGTTGTTAAGGGCATGCGTTTGTGTGGTTGACCCTGAGAAGGCTTTAAACTGTCATCTGGGGATATTTGGAGAGAAACATTGTGAAGCTCTGAAGACAATGACTGCACAGCTCTGTGATCCCTGCCATTCTCCAGCTCCTCAGACGGGGCAGTGGAACACTGGGTGTCCACAAGATGTTTTTCTTTGCTAGATTCTTTTCTAGCTGATCTGTCATCGATAGGATAATTCACTTCCTCCCAGCTTGAAGAAGAACTAAGCCCTGATAACTTGCTCCAAGTACTGGAGCTCTGGCTGTTGCTCAGAGACTTGTTGCAGACATCTCCCCCCACATTGCTGTGGTCAGGCGGTTCAGTCTCAGTCTCCACATCTTGATCCAGGGAGACTTGGAATGCCTCAGAATGGGTCCAGTTTCTCCTTCCTATCCTTCTGAGTATCTCTGGACCCTTGCCTTTTTGTGAGCGTGGTTTGTCTTGAGTAGCAGTCATAGTATCTGTGGTTTTTGTTTCTGTTTTTAAAGTAGTGATACAGACTCCTGTTTTTATGTCTTTTTGTTTATTTTTGTTGTTTCCACAAATGTTTTCAAAAACCTCACACACGGAGGTGTGGTGCTGTGAATAGGTTTCAAGGATTTTATGGAAATCCACTTGTCCATGCAAGATAGGTTTATTCAATCCGTACTTGAAACTCTCTGGGACATAAGATCTGTCATCTAAATTTGAGAAGCTTTGGACCTGTAAATGATCCTTCACCTGGCTGATAACAGACATGATCTCTCGAGACAGAGATTCTCTGTCCTGACTTCTGGAGGAAGTACTGAAAGTGTACAGCTTCTTCATGGCTTCATTACAGAGCTGACTCGCGGCACAGACTGCGTGCGTCTCTCCGTGGATTCTCCGGTGCACTGTGGTGAGACCGAAGGCGGCTTTGATGAAGCTATGAAGTTCCTGTTTTCCGGTGACTACCTGATCATCTCTCTTGGTGAGAAGGCCGATCTCAAAGGCCTCTTTGGCTTCACACAGATACAAGTTTTTCATTCCTGGAGGACAGTCATTAGAACTAGTATATGATAATAAGCATGTGCCACGGATATTCTGTGGAAAATACAAACACAGAATCAGATACTGAGTTGCAAACTGGAAGCACATCAGGATAAACTTTTCCCTCCTAGAAGATAATCATTTGAAATATTATGGGACAATAAACAGATGCCGCACATCTTCTGAGGCAAATGCACACTTTGAGTTAAGGACCGATGTCTTTTTGGTGAATGAGAAGAAGGGACGGGGAGGTAAGGTATTAGCTGGTATGAAGGGATAAGAAATTAGCTTTAAAGGCCTCCTACTGTAGCCCTGATACTTTTTGATTAAAGATGGCAGAAGTATGGCCATTGCTGTTTTAACAAACAATCTATACATGGAATATGGACATAATAAGTTTCTCTATGCAGTAAGGTTGTTTTAACACATCACTCACTTAACAATAGCCCAAACAATAGAGGTTTTCAAATCCGTTTGTGCATTAGAATCATCTTTGCAATAAGAGTCATCCCTCCGTATTGGTGGATTGGTTTCAGGACCCCATATGGAGACCAAAATCTGTGCCTGCTCAAGTCTCTTATATGAAATGACATAGAATTTGCATAGTCTATGTCCATCCTCCCACGTACTTTAAATCATCTCTATGTCACTTACAATACCTAATACAAGGTAAATGCTATGTAAATACTTGCTGTACTGCATTATTTAAGGAATAATGGCAAGGACACAAAAGTTTGCATGTGTTTAGTATGGATTCAACTTTTTGCTCCCATAAATAGTTTTGATCCAAGGTTGGTTGAATCTGCAGATTTGGGACCCACAGACATGGAGGACCAATTGTACTTCAAAGTGAAGGATTGCTGGATATCAGTCCCATAGATTTGTATTTAATGGACCTAAGGTAGAGCCCAAGAGTATGCATTTTGAAGAGCCTCCTTGGGTGAGTCTAATGTGCTGTCAGGCTTGGAAACCACTATTCGAGAACAGAAAACATTCTGTGCTTGGGCTGGATAATTTAGCTCCCATCAGGATGTGGCCACTCTAACTGAGCGCTTTTTCCCATGGCGAGTCTCATCACAGCTGCCAATCATGAGGCACACTGCCTACTTTAAGCCTACACCTTTCCCTCCCACTGGTTGCAGAGGGGAGCACCCCAGGGAAAGGAACTAGGGCGGGGGCTGCACTCTATTTACCACAGCTGTGAGCACGAACAGGGGTGTGTAGGCACTGAAGGCAGCTGCCAGTTTGCAGGCTTCCGCAGCTGACAACAAATGGTGGTCAAACTCCTTGAGCAAGCCCTGCAAGAACACAGGAGGCAAAGTGGAGGGTGATGATTTATCCAGTAGCAAAAACAGGTGGCGGAGTTCCTTTACTTTTCTTTTAGGATCCTGAGGGCCCCTTGCTTCTCATCACAAACCTTTTAGAACAGGCCAAGAAAGAGTAAGTGGATTTAAAGACCCCAGGGTACTGATCGTCCTTTCCCCCAGGTCGACACACTCTCCATATTCCACCTCTCCACTCCAGAGAGGGCCTAGGATGTGAAAATACTTATAGTGTCTGCCTGTGTAAGTGAATCAAATGTCCTTAAAATGGGGGCAGTTCTTCATTTGCATGAACTCTTTATATTTTGCAGTCAGGTTAATTGAGGCATTTTGCATTGTTCTTGGCAAAGAGACCTTCACAGCAATGAGGATTCATTCACTCATTTTAGAAAGATGTATTGAATAATTGCACAGGCCAGGTACTGTTCTAGACTCAGGGAGGCACAGAACAAGGAGCCTGCTGTGAGTTTACTTTCTACTGGGAGGAGGGATTTGTCAACACGAAAAGCAAATCAAATGCCTAGTGTCTGAGATAATAAGAGTTCTGGAGGAAAACCAAGTAGAGAAGGGGTTACAGAGGTCTGGATTGGGAAGGAAGTTTGCAGTTTTAAATAGTTATTTTGGGTATTTAGTAGAAATGGCAATTGTAAAAAAAAATCTTCATTTCAATGCTGCCTGGAGAGAAGTTCAATGTCAACACCAATGCTCCAGATGACAGAGACCCAGGCTCTGTTCTCATTCTCTTACTGGTTGTGCAAACTGCAGATGTTACTTAGTTTTTCTGAACCTCAGTCTATTTCTCTTTAAAATGGGAATGATACATTGTGCTCTGTCTATCTCATTGGGTTTATGTGGCTATACACATTTTTTTTTAGTTGCAAGGTGATATGTAAATATTAGTCATCATTATTATTAATGATAACAGCCTGGATTAAATGACTGATGGGTGAACTGATTTGAATGGATAGTGATGGGTTTTAAATATGTACCCCTTTATCATCAAGATGACCCAAATTTAGAAACTGAATTTTGTGATAATTTGAAATGAAATGAATTGGACTCAAAATCACGTTGAGGATATTCATTCTACTCATTCACTAAAAAAAATGTTTAGTACCTTGTGTTTCCTGATTCTATGCTAGGTGCTAGGATAATAAAGCTGAACAAGACACCACTGGATCTGTCTCCAGGACTTCTCCTGTTAATCCAAGAGGAGATTCTCTGCTCCTTGACCCTCAGTCTCCTCAGAAAGTGCTTAACACCAGGAATAACATTGGCAGTGCCTAGATGGTGCCAGTCTGAGCCATGTTTTTGGCATATGATAATTACCAAGTTAATCTGTGGATTGTTTTTAAACTTTTCATAATCTTTTCTGCTCATGGAAACAAAGATGTCTGCCAGTATTCCAAGTGATGTGGAAATGCCCTGTAAAGAAATCACAAACAAATCAGACTTAGAATTCAGGGCGGCTCTCATCTCATGGCTTACAGACCACAATGATCCCTCCATATGAACCTTTGTCTATTATTTTAATAATAATCATTATTATTACTATGCCCTTGAAGACACTTGTGAACTGAATGTCACTGGGCTTGAAAGACCATCACCTCTTGAGACACAGGGACTGACTGTAAACACAATTATTTTTAGTTGGGTTTCACATGATTCATACTTGCTTATACTGCTGGCCCGAATAATTGGCCCAAGAAAGGGATCTCACATCAGATCCTAGCCACGTTGTAAAAGCATAGGCAGCAACACTGCTGACCCAGCTCAGGGAAATGGAATAAATAACCGGAGGCTTCAGATAAGGAGGAGAATATTCCCCCAAATTATTGAAAATGAAAAGGTCAAATCGGAGAGCAAAGAATGTATCTTAACTTCTTAAAGATGCTACATAAACAATTCATTGAAGTCTGTGCCCACTTAACTCAAAGAATGATTTTACACATAAGCAGCTTGGGCATGGGTGTTGAGAGCCACAGCCGAAGGGGCCCCAGCAAACTTCCAGCTGAACTTTGCTATGGAATCAAGTAAAGGCTAAATGCACAATAACAGATGAATGGACCAGGAGAGAGAAATAAACTGATGGTTATAAATTATTACAGAGACACTAAATATATGCCAAGAGCTCACTGTGAGCAAGGACAGAGCAAGATACAGATGCAAGTTACTAAATTTTCTGGTCTTGTGCTCATATAGACTAAATACAAACAACACAGATAGAATCGCTAAATGGAAAATAAGGACATAATCATCCAAAGACAAATTATGAGAAAGAAGAAAAAGAACATGAGACAAAGGACCTTCTTATCTGGCTGAGGAAGTGTCACATATCCTACGATGGAGGCCCATATTAGCTCTGCTGCTTCATACCACATGCCTGAAAAAGAAAAAGAAGGAACAGGGAGAAGCAGCTCATACCTGTGCTCTGGTGTTAGAAGATACCTTTAAAAACTAATACAGAAAGAAGATTCGTCAGGTTCTGTTGGGAAAACTCAGGGCTAGATTAGGTTGACACAACAATTTGTCTTTTCAGTTGATTTAATATAGAAAACTTTCCCATTTTCTTATATATATATTTTGAATATAAAATGTTAATATTCATACATGTTACATATAGTTTTTTCCTTGACTTACAATAATACTAATTATTATCTTCTCTTAATTTTTTTTTCAAATTTTTAACTTTAAAATTGCATGTTAAAATATAATTAGGGTCCATAAACTTTACTTGAAAAAATTCATGACTGCCCCAAAGACTAAACAAATAAGGTGTTACAGAGGGTTTGAGATGATGTGTAATTATATATACCAAGTCCGCTGAACTGAGTCAGAGGCTAGGAATAATACTGAGAAGTTGGTCACTAACAGGTATAATATACAACTGTAAATTTCTCTAACAAAATCAATAAAAATATTTTATTTTATTAATATTCTTAACACTTCCAGGTTTTATTATTATTATTATTGTTATTATTTAGCTGAGGGTCTTGCTATGCTGTCTGGGCTGGTCTAGAATTCTTGGGCTCAGATGATCTTCCTGCTTTGGTCACTCAAGGAGCTGTGACAGCAGGCTTGTGCCACCACCACCAGCTCAGCTCCTGAGATTTGAAATGTCATAATCTTTTCAATGAGTAAACTCAGGGAAGTGGGGATCAACATTTTAGCCATATATAATAAGAAAATTCCACAGCAAAATCTTGTAGCCAGACTTTGTAAATCAGCCTTGAGAGGAATGCCATACCTAGTTTTTGCAGAATTTGTCCTCTGATCTGTATACAGACTGACTGTACCAGGATCTTATCACTTTCATTTCTGTATATCCAGGTACCTAAAATATAAGAAGGAAAAAAATTTCCTGGGTTTATTAAGAAAACGGCCTGCTGAAATAAACCTATTTTCTTTTCTTTTTTTGGTACTAGGAATTGAACCCCTGGGCACTTTGCCATTGAGCTTCATCCCCAGTCCTTTTTATTTTTTTATTTTAGGGATTCCCTAAGTTGCTGAGGCTGGTATTGAATTTATGATCCTCCTGCCTCAGCCTCCCAAATTGCTGGGATTACAGGCATGTTCTCTGGGGCCTGGCTAAATAAACATATTTCCCCAGAAGCCTTCATGGGCACTATGACACAGATTTGAGAGACAGTGTTGTCTCTAGAATAAGTCCAAACCACAAGGCTCCACAGGAACTAGTGACACAGCTAAGGTTTGGACAAGTCAGGCTGTGGTGTATGGATGAGTAGCCCTTTAAAAAAATTCAACCTCTCTGGTGTGGGGCAAAAGGAGATGAGGATGGATGGGATCTGAAATCTGAGTGCAGTGGTACATGCTTGTAATCCCAGCAACTCTGAAGGCTGAGGCAAAGGATCCCAAGTTTAAAGACAGTCTCAGTAACTTCTCGAGGCCTTAAAAAACAGTAAGATCCTGTCTCAAAATAAAAAATAAAAAAGGCTGGGAATGTGCCTCAGTAGTTAAGCTCCTGTGGGGTCAAACATTAAGGTCAGTAAGTTGTTATTAAACTAGAACTCTCATAGGGTCTGATGGTAAGAGTCCTGGGGAAACATGACAGTACGTACCTGTTGCTCCATTGTTGCTTATTAGACTGCTCAGGATATACTCTGCTTTTAAAAGTTTCCCTGAAAGGAAGAAACCAAATGCTACACAGTTAGTTCTGAACATGTACTTAAATACTACAAATGCTCTAAAGTTGATGCATTGTAACAGAGAACATCGCCTTTCTGGAAAATATTCTATTTTAAAACTTAAAAACAATAACTGTTTCATATATAAAACTGAAAAAAAAGCTGAAGTTTTCAAAAATTGGTAAGATGGGTGATTACAGAGTATCTGAAATGGTAATTAGATTCATATATATATATATATATATATATATATGCATGTGAATGTATGTATTATGTATGTATGATTATATGTATATAAACAAATATAATTGGCATTTCATTCCACTTTGTATATACACACACATATAGAGAGACTATTGTTATATATATGGAATTTCTCATATATATGCATACATATATATATATATATATATATATATATATATATATATATATATATTCCTTTAGAGCGGGGCTTAAGTAGTAGAGGCAAACCTTTGTAAAAGTGTGTGCTCCTCTCTATGAACACTGTATCTGATAGAATTGCTCATGAACAGGACTATTTACAGATTTATCACAAAGGGATTTTTGTGCAAGAGTGGGGAAGTTTGGGGTTTTTAAAAGCTTTTGACTTATTTTGGTTGCCACCACTAGGGAGGGGCCTTGTCTATAAACAGCTGTTTTCCATAAGTAGGAAACTCAGTCAATTACCCTTTACCCTCCTTTCTTCCAGGTAGCTCTAAACCCCAGGTGACCTGGCCCCTCCCTCTCATTCCCTCTACTTCAGTACTACTCCTTACTGTCCCCGGAGCCAGCCAGGCTTGTCCTCCCCATCATAGTCTTCATACTTACAATTATTTCAGCCTGGAATGCCATGATCCCAAATATCTCTTCAGGTCTTTGAACAAATCTCACTGTCTCCCAATTGTGTGGGCTGTTCCTGCCCACACAATTTCAAATTGCACACACAGACATACACCCTGACTGGAGTAGATTGTGTTTCCAAAGAAGGTCCCAACAGTAGCCTCTATCCACAGCTTTTTTGCAGCATGGCCTTCATTAAGGAATGCAATCTAGATTTTACTTCCCCTGTCCTTGAACATGAACTGGCACTATGACCTGTTTTATGACCAATGTATATGGCAGAAGTGACACAGTGTACCTTGTTTGATCTGTGCCTTAGAAGGTCCATCTTCTAGATTTAATTTCCTCCTTACAAAAATGCATCCTCTGTGTGTGTATGTGTATGTTTACAACAGAGCACAATGTCTCAGAGTAATAAATGTTTTTAGTTGTGTCTGAAAATGTCTATTTTATCCTCAGTTCTGAATGATGTTTTTGCTGGGTATAAAATTCTAGGTGGAAAGTCATTTCCTCTTCATTTTATGTAGATTCTATTGCTTTCTGGACTGTTATTACCAACAAAATCTTTATTATTAATAATAATCTAAAATCTGTCTTTTCTCTTTTTCCTTTAAGATTTTCTTATTGTTTGATTTTCTGTAGTTTTTCCACAGTGTCCAGGTATAGATTTTTTTTTAAATGTGGGTCTTTTTTTTCCTCAAGGCTAGATATATTTCTTTAACGTAAAGAATTATGGTTTTCTCCAGTTCTAAATCTATTTGTTCTTCCTAGAAGTCTTAAAAGTGTATCCTCATTCTATTTGAACTTTTAAAATTTCTTTTATATACTCACTCATCTGCTTAACTCTGCTTTACTCTCAGGCATTTGTTTATTTTTCATGTTATTGGTGATTGAACCCATGGGTACTCTACTACTGAGCTGCATCCCTAGACTTTTTAAAACAAGATTAAATTTTGAGACAGGGTCTTGCTAAGTTGCTGAGGCTGACCTTGAACTTTTTATCCTGCTCCCTCAGTTTTCTGAGCAGCTGGGGCTACAGGCATGCACCACTGTGCCTGGCCTCAATATTTTCTTCAAATACAATTTCCAGTCCCATGATCTTCTCTCCTGCTCTTAAATATGTTGCAGCAATACTTTTCAGGTAGGTCAGTAGGGAACTGCACACCTATGAGATAGGCCCCAGGAAACTTGTGCTGATCTTTGGGTTGTTGCCAGACATATGTACCAGGTGGGCAGGCAGGCACGTTGTTAGACTCTTTAGCTGGTCCCTTGCTACTCAAGTGAAGTCCGAACAGCAGCAGCCAGGTCATAGAGCTGGCTAGGAATGCAGTCTATATGCCTCCTCCACACCTAGGAATCAGAATCTGACTTTTAGTCAGATTGCCAGGGGATTCACAGACCCATGGAAATTGGGAAGCACCACTCCAGAGAGCTCCTCAAGGTGCCTTTTTGTTAATGGCCTGAGATGAGATTAAATGAAAAACTGACAGTGAGCATTGAGAAATGTTTACAGTCATTTATCAAGATAATTTTATAATGTTTGAAGCCACTAATAAATACTTCAAAGCAGCATTTTAATATCTTTTTAATTCATTTTTCTAATGAGTTATTTTATTGTATTCACCCTAATGAAGCAATTATTTTTTTAGTACTGGTAATGCTGGAAGCTTTTCCTACCCAGTGAGATAACTGTTGGGTTTTCTGGCTGTCTCTATCCATAGTTTTGCAAATAAATTCTAGTATCCTGTATCTCCAAAATAATAATAACAACAACAACAACAACAATAACAACAACAACAATATCATCAACAACTTGTATGCTTTCTCATTATGGGGATAATTCCTCATCCATGACTATTATTTTCTGAGAAACACATTGATTTGTAATTTCAATTATAAATTCAATTTGCAATTTCAATTGTATTTTTAATTTCTGAAAGTTCTGTTCAGTTCTTTTTCACATGAATAAATTCATTTATTTTTCTTTTGTGTTTTAGTCTTTTAAATATACTATTTTTTAAAGCTCCATGAGTCTGTCAAGTTGTTCTGCAGGTACTTTCCTTAATGTTGCAGCCCACTTTCATTGTGTGTAGGATAAGATGCTGCTCTAGTGTTTTGTTTCTTTCTTTGCTTATTAAAATATTAAATATAATAATATAATTATAAAATATTTAATATAAGATCATCTTTGGTCAAAAAAATATATATTTTGGTACTGGGATTGATCTCAGGTACACTTGACCACTGAACCACTTCCTTAGCCCTATTTTGAATTTTATTTAGAGGTGGGGTCTCATTGAGTTGCTTAGCACCTTGCTTTTGCTGAGGCTGGCTTTGAACTTGTCTTCCTCCTGTCTCAGCCTCCCAAAATGCTGGGATTACAGACATGCACCACAGTGCCCCACTCTGCCAAGAATATCTTCCAATGGGATTCCTACACCCAAGAGTGAGGATGTTTCTCCAGAGCATAGTTTATACTTGATTTTCCCCTGAGCCCCAGAAATTTCAGGCTTAAATCTTTTTTTAGAATTAATTATTTGGTGGGGGATTTCTTGCCTTGTGATAAAGGTAAATTCATACTCCACACTGACATTTGGCATAGACTTGAAATTTTTCTTTATTTTAGGAGGCTTTTTTGTTTTGTTTCCTATCTGGGTCCCCTTTCATGACCTATGCAATCATTTAAGAACTCCAGCTTTATGCAAGTATTTCACGCCTCACGTGGGCCCAAGGCACCCTGCCTCATGCCTCTGCACAGGGATTAAAATGACAGTCTCTTCCCTTAGGACTATATCCAATTGCAAACCCCTATGGCTACAAGTATCACCTGCAGTAGTCTACTGCTTTGATTTTGAACACCTTTGGTCAGGTACTTAAAAAATATGTTCACCTACTGGGTAGGATAGCACATGCCTGTAATCCCAGTGACTCGGGAGAGAGACCAAGTGAGGAGGACAGCAGGTTCGAGGGCAGCCTCAGCAACTTCAAAAGGCCCTAAGCAACTTAGTGAAATCCTGTCTTAAAAAATAGAAAGGACCAGGGATGTGAATCAGTGGTTAATTCCTGGTACAAAATATATATATTTCATATATATATATATATATATATATATATATATATATATTCAATATACATATATCATTTATGTATTTGTAGTGGGAGAAGACTTGGCACCTGCTCATGTTCATGGAATTGAAAGTCTGAGCCTTTGTTTCTCACTGTGATTTAAAAGGGTTGTCTCCTAATTTCAGGTGAGAGTGAGCTGGGCAGGCCCAGGGAGTCTTCTCTTGGCTCTGACCTCCCATTATGTTGCTGTCTTGGTTACTTGCGCGGAGAGGATATCAGGAAGGGCTGGATCAAAGGGGCTCATAGGAAGACTGCTGTCCTCTCCTATCACCTTTATTGATCTTCTTACTCCTTGTAATGCAATATCCCTCTCATTTATCTACTCCAAGATTCCCAAAGGCTGGGATTGAGCATCTTTCTCCCTCTTTGCTTTACCTTCTTCCTTTACCCCTACACATCCTTACCCTTTCTACACTCAAGCCCTAATCCAGCTCCCCATCCCTACATACATGCAGTGGAGACTTCAGTGATATTTTGGGGCAGAAGTTTAGAAGGAAGACTTAACTCTGAGGCTGAGTTTTTCTTCTTGTGACACTTTTGGAAGTGTCTTTGATGAAAAGCCAACCCCAACTATTGGGGAATAAGATCCAGGACTTTCATCTTAGGCACATGACAATGTGAGCAGAAAAGCGTACCATTCATGATGCTATCAAGGCTTGTCCATTATCAGGAGAAAACCACTATACCATCTTGGTTAGAGATATGAGAGAAATAACAAAAACAAAACAAAACAAAACAAAAAGCAACAACAACAAAAGAAAACTTAGCAACTTAGTGTGGCTGTGTGAAAGCAAAACTATAAACATACCTACTTATCATTTGATTTGGATTTCCATGCCACATCATAGCAGCTCTGTATATTGCAAAATATGTAAATATGTGATGTAATTCTATTTCAAGTTATTTTTTAATTGTTAGTTGTTGATGGACCTTTATTTTATTTACTTATTTATATTTGGTGCTGAGAATTGAACCCAGTGCCTCACGCATCCTAGGCAAGTGCTCTACTACTGAGCCACAACCCCAGCCCTATTTCAAGTTCTTTTTGATGGAACTCACCTTGCAAGCCTGGTGGCACATTCCAGGCCTAATCATTCTGTTCCCCAGAGAATGCTCTGCTTATGTCACTGTCATCTGACACTACCAGAGGGAACACTAATTGTTTGATTCCCCTCATGCTTCAAACATTATAAATGTTATCAGGGACAACTGAAAGAAGACATTTTTCCTAAGTTCAACTTTATCCCTACAGTTACTTTAGAAAAGTCAATAATAAGATGGGGGGCGGGGCTCAATTAATGCACAGTTGCCAGAACTTGAAAGTGAGTGAACTTGAGCTTTTGAAAAGGTAACCTCCACAAACCCATTTCTCCCATGTCCTTTTATCTGTCGCTTTGGCATTCAGTGATTGTCCTACTTAGTTTGATTACTACAGTTCCCTTTCAAAGGAAATGAAGTAGTTAAAGAGATTTTAACCTCTAACAGACCAGAGTTGTTTTTTTTTTTTTTTAATAATGGTAATTGTAAAACCAATCATAAAGGAACCAGTCCTGTTCTGGAAGGGACAACCTGTCTTCTTTTCATGCTTCAGTCTTCCAGATTTGGAAATGAGAATAGCATTCCACTTCCTAAGTGGAATGGTTATCAGTAGTTTAAATAATTCAAGAATTCCCTGGAAATGGACTATGCTGTAACACATAGCAGGGCCCCCTCCCCTCTCACTCCCCCCTCCGCTCCACATCTTAAGTTGGACTGTCAGCCTCATTTTTTCATTTCATTCAAAGTGACAGGGGGAAAAAAAGATACTTTCAGACCTAATCAGGTACTGTACCGGTGTTCTGAATGATGAAAAAAACCCTCAAATTGCTTCAGTGGGTTTGTCAGGTCCATTGTCAGCTTAGTCAAGTGGCCCTACAGAAAGGAGACAGGAGCGCTAAGAGAAAATAGTAGAATTCTAATCTGCTTTTTAAAGGCTCTTGGTCCGAAGTATAGCGATTCAGATACCCCTGTTTGAAAGCAGCAGGACAGATTTGTTAGAAGACAAAAGCTCCAATTAGTATTTTCCACACCCTTTCACAATTTTCTCTACTGCTTTTGGCTCTGAAACCCTTTATGCCAGGGCTTTTGTGCTGGCAAAGAGGCGGGTGGAAGGGCAGGCGCGGGGCGGGGCGGCGCGGAGAGGTGGCACGCAGGGCCGATGCCCGCGGGCTGCGCGCGGGGCTGGCCGAGAGTCGCAGCGAAGTGCAGTTGAGTAAGTACCAGGCGACGCCCGCACGGACGAGCAGCCGGGTCCGCGGGAGAGAACCCACCTGAGTTGACCGAGATCCGGGCTTGACGGATAACCACCTGCGGGGCGATTGGCGTCCCTGGTTGCAACTTGTGGAGACCTTTGGCCACCTGCAGGAGCTTCCCGGAGACGTCTAGCCCGTACAGGAAGCGGTCCATCAAGAAGACCAGAGCGGCCGCGGCGGCACAGTCCTGAGCGACGATGGAGGCTCGCAAGGACACCTGCGGGAACAGCCAGGGAACCCAATGGACCCGATGGCACAGCAGCCCGCGGACAAAGATGGCAGGCTTAGCCCCAGACTTGACCTTTGGGACATTTTCATTCAAACAATAACCATCAAACTGATATCTAGGAGTACATTGTATTCGATAACTAAATCACAGAAGAAAAAATAAGGAAAATTCAATTCATTTGAAAGAATATATTTTGTTCATTCCATTTCCCCCACTATATTTCTCAAACTGTTCCAAGTGCTAAATGCGTATTTCCTGTTGTTAAAAATTCAAACAATAGGTATATATCTAGGGTAAAAATTAAAAATAGAGATTGTGGCTCAGTGGTGGAGCACTGGCCTGGCATGTGTGAGGCCATGGGTTGGATCCTCAGCACCATGTAAAAAAAATAAATAAATAAAATAAAGATATATGTCCATCTACAATTAAAAACAAACAACAACAACAAAATGTAGCCCATAGTTTCCCTGAACCTTATCCCATCCTTCCCCTGATCTTGTTCCCACTTTCCCCATAAGGATTTGTGAGAGATTCTTCCAGAATTTCTTGCACCCTTTGATGTAATCTCAGACACTAATTGAGTCTTTTTTTTGGGGGGGGGGCCTGGCTTTCTCTTTCCCTTTCTTCCTCTCTGTCTCTCTCTCATAAATGAGATCACACGCAACATGTTACTCTGCATTTTCTTCTTTCAGTCATCATTACATCTGGGAGAACGTTCCACTCAGTTCATAACACCCTGCTTCATTTATTGCATACACATTAATTCAGAAGAAACACAGAACTTTGGGTGACAATTCTAATTTAATTTATATTATCATTTTATACATATAGTTAATAAACACAATAAGAAAAGGAAGAAAATAGGCATGAAATGAAAGTATAAGTGAATAAGAAATAAGAATAAATGAGGCAAACTTCTGTGGACAAACATCATCTGTCCGTGTGTTGTACTCAAGGTCTTTGATTCAGTGGGCATACAACTAACTGCATGAATGAGCCTGTCCCCGAGTACGATTTCCTTCATCTGCTAAACTAAGCCAAACTGAGTGTTTTCTAAGCATGTTTGTCCACAGATGAAGTCTACTCTGCCCTGCAAGCATTTTCCTACTACAGCACTTCTGTACTAGTCCCTGCTTTCTTCACCTGTAATCACAAGTACTCAACTTGTCTGGCAAAACTAGGTACATAGCACAGTGTACCTCGTTTTAGTGCTTTATATTCACTAATTCCCTCAGTTCTCACAGCAATCCCGAGGCAAGTTCTGTTATTACCTCCATTTGTAGAGACTCAAGAGAGGTTAAGAAACATGCCCAAGGTCACATGACAGGATGTAGGTGCAAGCAGGAGGGCCAGGTTCAGATCTACCCTGCTCACAAGCCTTGCTGTGCCCACTTTGCATTAGGAAAGCTGCAGGAGTTAGATATCAATTATCAGACACTAAGTGATGTTACAGTGAGTGCAGTCAATATTGCAGTTGTTGGTCTAAGCATGGCTTAATTAAAAAAACTGTAAGTGTTATACACAAACTCTTGAGAAGGAGGGAGTCTCTGAAACAGAAGGTTTAATGAGCCATTATAGATGCTTAAGAGGACCTGGTCTGGGACAAGCTCCTGTCACTTCTAGCAGCAATTCTAGGTGGCTATTGGAAAATGTTTGTTGGACCAGAGCTAAGACTATTTTTTATAATGAAAATCTGAGGTGGAAAGACACGAGCTGTTTCCATTGAGCCCACACTGGTTATAGATGAGAGGGATGGGACAAAGCAAAGTGGGGAAAGTTCCGGGATAGGAATGCTGTCCATAAGGAGAAGCAGCTGCTGCTTCTGGATTGGTTGGGGTTGTAAGTAAGCCACTGTAGCACTGAGGGGGTTGTGATGGGATTTGATTTAAGGTTTTAATGTACATTCAGGAATACAAGATGGTCTTTTGTTCTTTTCAGCCTGTAGATGTTGACTGACCAACCTCCTCCATCTCTCTTCCCTTCTGTCCTCTAGCCCTCGTAATTAAATTTAGGACATCTTGGAATATTCCTCTTATCAAAATAAGAAAGAATGTATTCATTCCCATAGGGAGAGAGTAGTCTCTTCTTCTCGAAATATATTGGGTACAGTTCTTTTAGAGTTTTAATAATTCATGCTCTAGTTTGGAGGCTGAATGATCTAAAAGGCTATGTGTTCAATGGTACCCCAGAGTGGTACCATTGGGAGTAGGGGGACTTTTAGGAGGTGACACTTTGTGGGAGATTCTCAGGTAATTGGGGAAATGCTCTTGAAGGGAATTGTAGACCCCAACCTTGTCTTCCTCCTTTTGCTTTCCAGTCATGAGGTGAACTGTTGTGCTTCACCATGAGCTCTGCACCTTTGCCATCCAACATGCCCACCAGAGGCCCAAAGCAATGGGCCTGCTCAATCTTAGACTGGAACCTCCAAAACTGTTAGCCAAAATAACATTTTTTTCTCTTCATAAGTTAGTTATCTTGGGTATTTCATTACAGTGTTAGAAAGCTGACTAAAATAATCAGCATATCTCTAAGTAAAACTGGCCTCAACTTTCACATCTGGCCCATTCTGTATTCTACCTATGGTATTTGTTCATATAATTTGATTTCTAGTTTATGCTTTTCTACCTAATGATCCATATACTGCATGTAGAATATAACATTTATCTTTGTGGGCATTTTCATTAATCAGGTAACACCTATTGATAACCAGCACAATAAGCCTTCTTGTTTCAAAGAGATAATGTCTTAACTTGTTTAGATTTTTAAACCATCAATGTGTTTATTAGGTATTGAATCTATCTTGTGGTTCTAAGCCAATACATGTTCTTATTGTGCTGGAGATGCCAATTGTTAAGGAGGATATCCCTTCTCTCCTCTTGATGCTCCCTTCCATGTAAAGGGGGCTGGATTACTGTAGCACCCCTGGCCTCTCTACTCTACTACCCACTCCACCACACAGGAGGAGGAGTGACTAATCGTACTGAGAAGAATAAGCTGGGCATGCATGGCTTCACTCCTCCCTTTTCCTCTTGGGAACACTGTGTTAATAAAACAGGGATTCTTTTCTGCTCTTCTCTAAGTTTTTATATATGTATATTTTTAGTTGTAGATGGATACAATATCTTTATTTATTTATTTTTATGTGGTGTCGAGTTTCGAATCCAATGCCTCAAGCATGCAAGGCAAGTGATCTACCACTGAGCTACAACCCAGTCTCTCTAAGTTTTATCTAGAAAGCCATCTTATATGAGATGTTCTGTTTGGCCCAGAAATTACTGTGACTGGATATAGAAGGAAGTCTGCATACTTCTGGGGTCAGCTATGTTCTAATATGAAGGTTTATCATTCAACTTACTCGTTATCAGAGTTAAAGATAATATTTGATCTTTTGTCTACCTATCTGTTTTATTTCCCAGTCTGTTCAGATTAGGGAAATAAAGAGCTTTATTCATTGGACCCTCTCCTAAGATCCTTGCCTTTCTAAGGCACACAGTAACCCACAGCCCCTGTCTTTGAAGCAGCCATGTATTTTGCCACTTCGCCTTGACACCTTCTCTCTACCCCTTGCCTTCTCAAACCTGGCTCCATGACTCTGTGGCTTGGCTTGAAAAAAAGGAACCTATCAATCTGAACTAAGACATGGTTATGGTTTGGGTATGAGGTATCCTTCAAAGATTCTGTGTTAATGCAGGAGATGAAATGATTGGGTCATGAGAGACTACCTTAAACAATGGATTCATCCATTTATTGGATAAATAATTTGAATGGATTACTGTGTGGTAACTGTAGGCAGGTGGGGCATGGCTGGAGGAGGTGGGTTAGGGTGAGCCTATGGGATCATATATTTTTTTCCCAGCTCCTCTCACTCTCTGCTTCTTGTCTGTCATGAGCTGAGTAGCTTTCCTCCATCATGCTCTTTTGCTATGTTCAATGGATCTGACTGACCATGAACGGAACGGCTGAAATTATATAAATCCAAATAAGTTTTTCCTTCGCTCAGTTGTTATTTTGGGGTATTTTGGTTTCAACAATAAAAAATTGACTAACAGATGTAGAAAGAATTTGCTTGTTATTGCAAGACAGAAAGAAATAGAAAGTGGAGTGTGGCTGAGCCACATTTATGGGCAATATGAAGGAAAATCAAAAAATAATGGCTCCACAGCAAACTCTACCTTCCCTGGGTGCATTCTTAGAGTCATGTGTCTCTGGTACTGTCCCAAATTTACTTTCATGATAATGTACACCCCTTTTATGAGTCTACCTGATTGAGCTTCTCTTCCTTCCAGCTAAATATAGCCTAATTAAAATTAAAATACTTCAAACTTCTATTGAGTTTTGTCAAACAAATCATTAATCTGAAAATGCAGTTTCATGATGAATATTAGTCATTTGACATTCATAAAATGTGAACTCAAAAGTGGAAAAGCAAATTGTTGGTAGTACATGTGCCCAGCTCTGTCTAAGAAGGCCAGTCTCTTAGTAAGAGTCCTACCTATGGGGCACTACATAAGAATATTCATTTGGTTTGCAACTCAGGCAAACTATCTATAGAACTTGAAGTAAACAACTTAGGCTTACTATCCATAGAACTTGAAGTTTCTTCCACTGCCAGCCTCTCTTATACGGTTGCTTAAAAAGAGCAACTCCATTCCTCTCGCTCTGCTCATGGCTGTGTACGTTGGATGGCACTCAGCGAGCCAATGAGGGCCTTCTCTTTGATGTTGCACTTTGGTGCTTGACCTGCTCTCCTTCTCATTGGGGCCTCTCTTCCACCTGAGGTAGATGCAGTTACCACTGGGATGAGATGTTCCAAGGCAGGCTATTCTCCAGAAGTGACTCTTGCCTCATTATAATGGTTTCCATCTTTGTAGCACCATTGAATTTATGAAAAATGTTCATAAACATGAGCTTGTTTGATTCCTACTGTAACCCTAAAGTCTAAATAAGAAAAGGAAACAGGCTAAGAGGCTAACTGGCTTCTCAAAGAC